CACTAAACTAATATTTAGTTGTATGATCACAGTTTTTTTATTTTTATAACTGCTTCACAACTGTGCGGTATTGAATCAACTAACTTGTGGCACCATTCAGCTGTTATTCCACTCCAAGATAAATTTACATTACTTGGTTTTAGTTCAGAAACAACATTTTTTATGTCACCCCACAAGTTCTTGATTTGATTAAGGTCCGGGGATTGGGGTGGCCACTCCATAACAGTCATATTGTTGGTTTGGCATCAAGATTGTGTTTGTACTTTACTTTGAAGGGCTTGTCCACATCAGCATAAGGCAACATGACCTCTACAAGTATTTAACATATGCAAACTGATCCATATGTGATAAATAGGCCCCACACCATAGCAGGAGAAACATGCACATATCATGATGCTTAACCATTCTCCACTGTCTTCTCTGTGAACTATGGCTTGAATTCAGAGTTTAGGAACCCAAAAGAACAATACTTTCATCAATCCACAAAATGTTCCTGCATTTCTTTTCAGGCTAGTTGATGTGTTCTATGGCAAATTGTAACCCCTTCTGTACATGTTTTTTTTAACAGAGGGAATTTGCAGGGGATTCTTGTAAATAGATAAGCTTCACACATACACATTCTAACTGTCACAGTACTAACAGGCAACTCAGACTGTCTTTGATCATCCTGGAGCTGATCATTTGCTGAGCCTTTGCCATTCTGGTTATTCTCCAATCCATTTTGATGGTTGCCTTATATTTTCTGTTACGTGTCTCTGGTTTTGCTCTCTATTCTAAAGCTTTGGAGATAATTTTATCTGAACAGCCTACCATATTTTGCACCTCGTTATACATTTCCCCCTTTCAAATCAGCTTTTTAACCAAAGTGTGCTTTTCCTAAGTGTCTTGAGTGACCCATTTTTCCTCAGGCCTTCAGGGAGAAGACCAAGTATTAGCTTCATCCTTGAATAAGGACCACCGGATTCACAACGGTTTTTTCACAATATTGATTATGTCACTGATTGAATGCCACACTGCTATTTAACACACCCCTTTCACCTAATGGCCAAATTGCACAGCCTCAAGAGTGTGCACATCATGAATGCAGGGTCTCCTGGGAAAATGGTTTTCTGGGAATCTACAGCACCTACTGGTAAATTGTTTTCCATGTAGCAATAAAAACATACTAACAGTTATTAAAATTGTTAGTTACATTAGACTGCTATTATTTTGAACACAATTGTATATGGGATTTGTCAGATAACAGATGACAGCATGTATACACAGCAAGGCAAACCATTGGGTTTATGGCTGTTTTTGGACAAATACGTGTGCTGGTGGCCATAGTTAGACAATACCTAAAGCAGCCCCTATCCCCTCTCTCCAAATTAGTTTGGATCATTTAATTTAGATCAGAAACTAGATTTTTCATCTATGCAACTGCAAAGATTTGTTTTTTTGTTTCTACTGAATAACTATCCCCTCCCTGGCTGCCACCTTATCGTGGTGGAGGGGTTTGAGTGTCCCAGTGATCCTAGGAGCTATGTTGTCCGGGGCTTCAAGCCCCTGGTAGGGTCACCCAAGGCAAACAGGTCCTAGGTGAGGGATCAGACGAAGCGCAGCCAAGAAGACCCCTATGATGTCTAACAAAATTGGATCCAACGTTCCCTCGCCCGGGCGCGGGTCACCGGGGCCCCCCCCTGGAGCCAGGCCCAGGGGCGGGGCACGATGGCGAGCGCCTGGTGGCCGGGCCTTCACCCATGGGGCCCGGCCGGGCACAGCCCGAAAAGGCAACATGGGTCCCCCGTCCCATGGGCCCACCACCCATGGGACGGGCCATAGGGGTCGGGTGCGTTGTGCCCTGGGCGGCAGCCGGAGTCGGGGACCTTGGCGGACTGATCCCCGGCTGCAGAAGCTGGCTCTAGGGACGTGGAACGTCACCTCTCTGGCGGGGAAGGAGCCTGAGCTGGTGTGCGAGGCGGAGAGATTCCGGCTGGACATAGTCGGTCTCGCCTCGACACACAGCTCTGGCTCTGGAACCAGCCTTCTCGAGAGGGGTTGGACGCTCTGCTACTCTGGAGTTGCCCCCGGTGAGAGGCGCCGAGCAGGAGTGGGCATACTCATTGCCCCCCATCTCGGTGCCTGTACGTTGGGGTTTACCCCGGTGAGCGAGAGGGTAGCATCCCTTCGCCTTCGGGTGGGGGGACGGGTCCTGACTGTCGTTTGTGCCTATGCGCCTAGCGGCAGCACAGAGTACCCACCCTTTTTGGAGTCCTTAGAGGGGGTACTGGAGGGTGCCCCCCCTGGGGACTCCCTCGTTTTGCTGGGGGACTTCAACGCTCACGTGGGCAACGACAGTGAGACCTGGAGGGGCGTGGTTGGGAGGAATGGCCCCCCCAGCTTGAACCCGAGCGGTGTTCTGTTTTTGGACTTCTGTGCTCGGCACGGATTGTCCATAACGAACACCATGTTCAGGCATAAGAGTGTCCATATGTGCACCTGGCACCAGGACACTCTAGGCCGCAGTTCAATGATCGACTTCGTTGTCGTTTCAGCTGATCTGCGGCCGCATGTTCTGAACACTCGGGTCAAGAGGGGGGCGGAGCTTTCCACTGACCACTACCTGGTGGTGAGTTGGCTCCGATGGTGGGGGAGGATGCCGGTGAGACCCGGGAGGCCCAAACGTGTTGTGAGGGTCTGCTGGGAGCGCCTGGCGGAGTCCCCTGTTAGGCGGAGCTTTAACTCCCACCTCCGGGAGAGCTTCGAACACGTTCCGGGGGAGGCGGGGGACATTGAGTCCGAGTGGGCCGTGTTCCGCGCCTCCATCGATGACGCGGCC